CATCCACGATCTTTCAGTTAGTAAGCCTATTTGTATCTTTGAATTAATCTTCTCCTACTAACATATGGTAATGTTGATGTACATGGCTCACTGAATGCATAACCAAGCTGAGACTAGGACCCAAGTAGCCATTCCAATGTGCTTAGATAAGATTGAAGCACACAAGACTGCCTCAAGAGGCGCGCCACGGCCGCGCCCAACCCCTAGTAGGAAGCAATGTGGCCGCATTTCTAGTGCCTATGGAAACAAACAAGAAACTAGAAGGAAGCATGTGCCAATATCAATGGAATTTTTGCTACTATCAGTTTTACCAAAACAAAATGTGATTCGGATTTGAGTTTTCTTTTTTCATGGAACCAAATTCAACTTAGAATGGGAGCAATTGTTTTTTCTCTAGATGCATATTCCCAATTTTGCTGAAGCATGTGTATTCATGGCAGTGAAAATAGTTGTGCTTTTGATGGAAACAAATTTTTATACAACGTTATTTGGTGAAACAAATATTGTGATAATTATTTTTGTATAATATATAACTTCTACTAAATTAAAGCAAACCTAATCAATGTGGTAGAAAATTTTTGCGATCATTGTAAATATATTTTTTGCGCTGCATGATTCATGTCGTAATAAATAGTGCTTCCTCCCCTACTGCCGCATGCTTCCTTTCTTAATCAAAATTGAATTCATCACAACTTTCTGCATCAACTATCAGAAATCAAGGCCTCACAAATCAAACTGAACCATATTCATCTATGTGCATTCATTCTCTACGGCAGGGAAAAGAATTTCATACCCTAAACATGTGCATCTCAGTACTGTGAAGGCAGACATTGCCTCTACAACTAAACGCTAGTGCATCACTTCTCAAAAAGCAATGCTTCCATCAAATTTATCGCCCCCAATTTTGATCTTCTCTCTCAACAAACGGGTATACCATGAGCTAATGTAAAACAATACATCAATCACTCTTGACATCAACTCATACGGCCCCAATACACATGAGCAGCACTACAGAAACATGGCAAAACACTAGAAATCATCCTTAGTTTATCTCTCTGTCGCCATTATGGACAATCTGATATGGTAGCTACTTATTGGACCAATCTGCGGCACAACCTCCTGTTTTGGAACTAATCCCAGGGCATGGACAATTTGGATCGGTTGAAGTAGAATGATGAACTGAATTATAGAACCCACGATACTCGATCTCAAGGGCCAGGTGCGCCATTTTTTCTTGAACTGGAGATAACCACACAACAAAGAAGCAGCGTCCGAGGGGAGGAAGAAACAACTAGAGAGAGCAAGAGAATGACCCGAGCATGGGGTCGTGGGTAGCGGGAGCAGTTGGGAAGCACTCAATTAGGGGCTATGGTAATCTCGCATGGGCCTGACGTACATCATGCTTCCAATCTAGGGGCCTACAACTAGTCTGATAGATGCAATCTATCAGTACTCTGATGCCTAGGGTTGCCCGTAACAAAAAGCTGCATGCGGTAAGGACAACAAATCCAGTTCAACATTAATCCTGCATCCCAGCAAATACAATAACATAGGAATCACCCAACTAGTTCATATTCTGATTCCAGCATGGATATACTAGATAGTTTTGCCCTGAGCCCAAGCCACTGAGACCTACATGTACCCATACACACGACAATAGGTAACAACATAGATACTAAATATGATAAGATGCAGTGATCATTAGCTACACTACTAAGTTGTCATGATAATATCTTTGACCGCTTTCAGCTCGGCCGGCAGGAAGCTAGCAGCCAGCTCCCTGAGAACAGATGGGCAGCTATTCTTCAGATGCTCGTAACCATCACTTGCCATCATCGTCTCCAAATTGGAAGGCGAAGCGAGGAACTCAAAACAGGCCTCCTTGATTCTATGCAAGCCGTGCTGCTCAGCTAGAGCCAAACTAGTCGCCACGACGTCAGAGTCAATGAGGTTGCACAACTTCTCTTCGCATATCAGCTTGAGCCTCTCAATGTTGTACCTGTCTGCCGCAACAAGTAGATGACCAGCTATCACCATCTCTCTTCCTGTTTCACCCTCATCAGTTGTCTCAGGAACAGGCAGCGAGTCAGTGTAAATGAAGTGGAGCAAAGACTTGAACACGTCACTTTCCATATCGCTAATTTCAATCAAACTGTTCCCACTCTCCTTCATGGGGCCAAAGAGCTCCGCCCTGAATACTAATGACCGAGCAGCAAGCACGGACCTATGGGCCAAGAAGCTTTCCCCGCCAACCCGAAAGGTCACATCCGCTCCATCCAAGCTGATGAGGAGGTCACCGAGATGCTGGTGCAAGTTACTTGGAGGAACCACAATAAACCGATTAACTTTATGGACAGGCTTCATAACCGTAACATCACACCTGATGCTGAAACTGTCGTCTCTTAGATACACTGAGCTCTCGAGATCAGCAACCTTGATAAAATTAGAGAAACCCCAGTCTGAACCTTTGCTATCGAAGATATGCTCATGGGTGATCATGCTTTTTGATTCCAGTGGTTCTCCATCTTTGTCAAGCAGACTAAATCCAACTTTCGCTTTCACATCGTTAGAAACATCAGAATACAGAGCTAGAAAAACAGATATGAAACCGGCTTCATACTTTTCGGCGTAGCAACCGTTTGGGTAATACTCCACGGCCCAATCGTGACCTCCAACAGTGAAAGGGGTAGATTGCACGTAGTTTCCATGCTCGATTTGCCCCTTGAGTCTTGAGTATCCGTCTATCTTGATCACATATGAACTTCCCTCCGATGACGCTACAATGGCAGCAGGAAGCTGCGCCATTCCGTTGGTGGGCTAGGCAGTTGCAGGGAGCGCGGGTCGAGGCAGCGTCCCCTGGCCGGGGATCGGAAGACCGTCGGGGTCGAGTTGGGGTCGATAGCTGGGACGGTGGTGTGGAATGGCGCTGGGAGGGAGATGGGAAGGAGGAAGAGGGGAAAACGGAGGAGCAAAGATGCTGTCGGCGCTGCCGCTGCTAGCCGTCGACGGTCCTCCCCTGCCTTCACCACGCCGTCAGGGCGCGTCGCGGGAACGGGCCGCGCGTCAGCGAGTTGCCGGGGGGCAGCTCATGTCGAACGCGGCAGCAGTTGCCGTCGCGCGCTGCGACTAGGAAGAAGACGAGCGGAGGACAGGGAGGGCGGCGGCGGCGGCGGCGGCTGTGAATACCTAACGAGATGCGGCTAGGGTTGAACTTTTTTTTTAGACGAGGCTAGGGTTGAACTGGGAGAAGAGGCCTCACGGCATGGTGGGTCGAAGTTCGTGGGCTTAGGACCTTGGGGCCGCAGTTGTTGGGTTTGTCCATGGGCCATATTCGAACTTGGTAGCTCAGCATGTGTAATCTTACAGCCGTTACTAAAAAAAAGCAATAATCTTACAGCCTCTTCTAAAAAAATAAAAATCTTACAGCCTCTTCTAAAAAAAAAAATCTTACAAACTCTTCTAAAAAACAAAAGCAAAAATCTTACAGCCTAAAAAAAATCTTACATTTTTCGAATACGCAAAGTTTGCGTATCTTTCATCAAGGGATAGGAGAGAACAAAGTAACAAAGAGGAGAGGGATAGGATACAACACATCACACACTCGCCCAAGCATATACTCCGGTCATGGAAGGCAAGGAAGCGAGATCCAGAGTAGCTAGGCCACGTCGCGAACAAAGCCGACACCATTGTCGCGCGGCCACACCACCAGGACAAAGCAAATCAATGCACCCAACCTTGAAGGTCAAGAAGAGTTGGCAAGTGGGTTGTAGAATTGGATCGGGCCAAAGGAAGACGTCATGGAGGAAGAGCTGACAATGTCGTACATTGCGATCCGGATGCCCATGCCCTGAGTAGCAGCCCAAAACCATGCATGCCGTCCACATCACCAATTTCAACACGGAAGACGGCACAAGCGGTAATCTTATGTAATCAATCAATTGAGAGTTTAGGGCTCGAGGAACACTGGTCGCCGGCGGGATACCTTCGATCCCCACACCTCCCGTTACCATCTTGGCACTGAGATGTGGGGGTCTCAGTCATCAAGAATTGTATGGTCATCGTCATCATATAGTGGTGTTTTGCGAATAAAATTACTTTGGTTTTTCTTTGGGGGTGCCATGAAGGCAGAGAGGTTTGTGTTATCAAAGAGTCAATTATTCAAATATGGTAAGTTTAGATTACTGTGTCATGTTCTTTTTGTTGGTTTGATTTTTTTCTTCGACTTAAAATATTTTTCTCGACACTATGGTGATAATCTTGTGGTTCAACGCTATGCACTCCTAGAGGATCATTCCGGCACCAATTATGTTTCTTTCTCATGGCTTCCTTCCGGCGACTCATGTCGCTAAAAAAACCTTTTTGATAAACAAGCTCATGTGGGTAAATGAGTGGAAGTATCACTGTTCCTATCCAATTGCACTCTCTTTGCAGTGATTCATTTTCATTTTACAAGATTGATACCACGGAGAAGATGTTTTCAAGATATTTCACATGTAATTCTTAGTTGTATGAGCTACTTTGTAGTTTTTGGGTCTTGGATCCAAAAGCATTGCATCTATACAATAATATCTTGCTGCTATGAAAAAAATATAGTTATTTCTAAAAAACAATAATCTTTCTTGCTAAAAAATAACTTCTTACTTAAAAATAACAATTTCTCAAAAATCACAAGTTAGGGTACAGGTGCAAAGGTTGCCTCAAACTTCTCTCGTGGTCCCCCGCAAAAAATATGTGTTTTGTGGTGCATCTTTGAGGGTGGTGACGCGTGACACAATGCATATAAACCACTTGTCGTCACCAGGAAGTTCATGTGTATGTTTTTTCTGAAGGATGCATTTTTCTCGTGCGGTGTAAATTTCAATCAAAGTTATCTAAATTGAGTGTCCAAATTGCAAACAGATTTCATCGTAACATTTGTCGTGTCCATATCTTCAAAAGTAGTTCTTGTGTTAATACATTTCAGTGAACTTATTTTCAAATGCAGCTTGTACTTCCAATGACAACATACTTGTACTTCCCATGGGTAGTGAACTCATGTGTAATGCAATGTGTAGCCCTCTCATGGTGCAATTTATAGTCCTTGGTGTAACATGTGCTTCTCACATGGTGTAACGTGTACTTGCTACACAATGCACCCTGAAATCCCGGGTGCAATATGTACTTTCAGTGTGGCAACATGTACCACCTGGTGTAACATGTTCTTCTCGCCCGCTCCAACCTATGCTTCATGTGTTGCAACTTGTATTGCTAGTACAACATGTCATTTGCATGTCTTGGAACATGTACTCCAAGTATGAAGTGTACTGTTACTAGCACAAGTTGATAAAAGCTGGAGAAAGAAAAACAAGTGAAAAACAAAGGAAAATAAAAAAAAACAAAAAAGGCCAAAATCGGGGCCTACCATGCAAAAACCAGAAGAAAAAACACATTTCAAACCCTCATTGCGGCTTGAGGTGCCTTTTTGGTCCACCACGCATTAGATTGGCCTGGCCCACGCATAACCTTGGAATAACCTTCGTTTAGTTGCTCTTGACTTTCTCCTACTTGGACGCTACTATGTCTATGTGTCTCTAAGAAGCGCATGAAGGGAGGCTCGCCTACATTGCCTGCTCATGGGTCGGCTTAATTCCGCCCACTAAGCAAGCAAAGTTTTCTTTTCATTTTTCTATGTATAAATCCCAAAACGTTTTCCTCACTATTTCATATAATGTACTACCCCTGTAAAGAAATATAAGAATGTTTAGATCACTAAAGTAGTGATCTAAACGCTCTTATATTTCTATACTGAGGGAGTATTTAATAAAACTCCAGTTTTAAAAGAATATTTCACGAAAATTGACGTCTAATTAAAAACTTAATTTGGATTATTCAAAAAATGACCATGTAACTAAAAAATGTTTGGGCTCTTAATAATCTCATATGATTTAAAAGTGTTAACATATTTAATAAAATATTTAGTAGATTTAAAACTTATTCATGCATTTAAAAAAATATTTTTTTGAGAAGTGTTCATACATTGGAAAAAATGTAGTCTACTTATAAAAAGTATTCATCCCTTTAAAAAAACTGGTACCATATTTGTTTCAAATGTTTGCGCATTTAGTTCCCCTCTAGTTCCCTCCACATCAGGTGGGGTGAGCAGCCAATCACCGAGGTTCATTTTTGTTCTTACACACTCATACTAGTCTTCTTTTTTTAGGAGACTGGTCTACCTTTTAAAATATGTTCATGTGCTTTTAAAAGTATCCACACCTTTAAAAAATGTTCATGTATTTTTTTTAAATGATCGTGCATTTAGGAAAAAATGTTTATGTACTTTTGAGAAGTATTCAAGTATTTTAACAGTTATTCATGTACTTTTGGAAAAGTGCTCAAGCCATGAAAAGAAACTCACGTAATTTCTGAAAAACGTTTATACTTATTGTAAAAACTTAAAGTAGGAAAGTGCAAAAGAAACATAAAAAGGAAAAAATAGAAATATAAACAGAAAAAAGATAGAAAATAGAAAAGGAAACAAGGAAAACATTTATAAAACGGACAAAAGTTGTTTCCCAAAAAAAATCCGCATGCAGAATATCATAATGCTTGCTACGGGCGATATACTGTCTTTTGCGCTCCTGCTTGACGTTAGTGCCTCAAACAGGTTGGGTTTTCCTTTCTTTCTTTTTTTTGGGGAAACAACTTTCGATTTATTCATCTTTAATCATGATATTACAGCAAACACTTTAAATAATAAAAATTACATTCATATTTGCAGACTACTTAACGATGACACTAAAGGGAACCAAATGCATGCCGCTATCATCGCCCCTCCCTTGACGGAGGGGTGCAAAACTTATTGAAGTAGCACTGCATTGCGTTTTCGACAGAGCGAGGAAGACGATTAAATTAGGTGGTTTATAGGACGTCGTATGTACTACTCCTTCCGTTCCGAATTACTTGTCTTGGATTTGTCTAGATACGGATGTATCTAAGTCTAGATACATCCGTATCTAGACAAATCCAAGACAAGTAATTCGGAACGGAGGGAGTACTTACCTGGACGAGGACGCCAGATGGGTGGTCACTGGTCAAGGCAATATGCATGTTCCTAGATTAGAATCATCAGAATTGACCAAACATACGGAAGCCTCGGAAAGTCGGGATCGGGCAGTAAATATTCAAAGTGTTTTCTCCGTATGCAAAGTAGACGATGCCGCAAGACTTCCAAGTCAAATTCCCAGCCTGACGTTGACCCGGTATTTTGGTCAGATATGGCATGCTGGCCGATTAGTCAAATAGGGAAAATTAAATTAATGGTCAGACATCGCCCGCAGCCATGTGTATCTATATAAACACGTACACGTGCTGGATCATTCACGGCGATAGATGGTTCCAGTTCTTCGCCGCTGATGATGGCTTTGCTGCTCCCCCTTGAAATTTCAGTCCCCACGTTGGGACTAGTATAATGTTTTCCTTTGTGGTAATATATAAACAGCGTGCTTAACTAACTAGCCATGTGGAACCGGAATTGAACGAGCGCATCTGCTTCACGTGTAGAATTGGGGGCTCCGCATTTATTTAATTTTTCAAACCAAGAACCATAGAACAATCGTTCTACCGTAAATTATATTAAAATATATACAAAGTACAAGTTACAAGTTGCACCCAGTGAAAGTTTATCCTATGCCAGCTCTAGGAAACATCGTGTGAGTCATGATAATCAAGTTAAATAATCTTCAACCCAGCTATAAAGTGTATCCTTGAATTTATCCTTTATTGTGTGAGTGATCAACAGAAGATCCATCTTGAGGAGGCGTCTCCAG